GAGAGAGGAGAGGGGGAGGAGGGGGGGGGAGGGAAACAGGTTATGTACTTCCAATCGCACGTACCTATTACGGAGCCCAGTATTCAATGCCCCCTTGTTTACGGGTGTAATCTACGTTGGCAGCAGTAAGACACGTGCTGCAGTCCACCACGGATAACCAGGCAGAGCTCCGGCAGTGCACCATGAGACACTCGAGCGTGCTTGGGCCTGCAAGGAAGTTGCAACACCAATAGGTACGAAGCCCTTAGGAGTCAGGACCATAGATTTGGTAAGAAACAAGGTATGGTGCTACTAGCCCTGGGGAGGAAGAGAGGGAGAGAGAGGGGGCGAGAGAGGAGAAGGTGCAAGAAAAGGGCGAGAGAGAGGGAGAATAGGCGAGAGAGGGGGGGCGAGAGAGGGAGAAGGGGCAAGAGAGGGGGCGAGGGAGAGAGAGAGAAGGGGCGAGAGGGAGGGCGAGAGAGAGGGGGGGGAGAGAGGACATAAAGAGCGAATGCGCAATTGTAGGGTGGCAGATTGCACTTACAAGTTCCAATTCCACCGATATTCATACATACTTCACCGGAACCACAACGAATGACTGCGCATGTTCCTGGAGAGAGAGAGAAGGGGGAGAGAGAGTGAGAGAGGGAGAGAGAGAGGGAGAGAGAAGAGAGAAAGAGAGACAGGAGGGGGAGAGGGCGAGGAAAGTGAACTACTATAACAGGGAAATGAAAGTGAACATGAGTGCTTTGCAGAAATGGAGGAATTTAACAAACAAGCACAGTACGCACCTGTGCAAATGCCATTGTGCAGTACATATCCTGGTGCACATTTACAGACTGCGCCACCACTCGTGTCGACACATACTTCAGATTCGCTATTACAAGGGTCGGAGGCGCATGTTCCTGGCAGATGCGAGGGAGAATGGAAAGTATATTTGAGAGTGGGGTACGCCATGTACGCCATGTGGGGTACATGCGCCCTCAACCCTTTGTAGTAGTTTTGAGAGTCGCGTACAAAGAGCTGGACAGACCATGTAGAGAGATGGGTGGATCCATTCAAATTAAGACAGCATGAGCGTGCAGGAAGAATGTGAGGCAGACAAAGACACACATACCTTGACAATTCGGCGGCGCGCCTGTGTATTCGGGCTCCCTGCAAACGCATTGTCCCCCGTGATCCGTTTCTTTGCAAAGTTCGAAGGGTCCACACTTCGTGAATATGCATTGCGCTGGCAGTAGGAGAATTCATCAGCGAGGGAGAGAAGGATGGGGAGGAAGAGAGAGAGAGAAGGATGGGGAGGAAGAGAGAGAGAGAGAAGGATGGGGAGGAAGAGAGAGAGAGAGAAGGATGGGGAGGAAGAGAGAGAGAGAGAAGGATGGGGAGGAAGAGAGAGAGAGAGAAGGATGGGGAGGAAGAGAGAGAGAGAGAAGGATGGGGAGGAAGAGAGAGAGAGAAGGATGGGGAGGAAGAGAGAGAGAGAGAAGGATGGGGAGGAAGAGAGAGAGAGAGAAGGATGGGGAGGAAGAGAGAGAGAGAGAAGGATGGGGAGGAAGAGAGAGAGAGAGAGAAGGATGGGGAGGAAGAGAGAGAGAGAGAAGGATGGGGAGGAAGAGAGAGAGAGAGAAGGATGGGGAGGAAGAGAGAGAGAGAGAAGGATGGGGAGGAAGAGAGAGAGAGAGAAGGATGGGGAGGAAGAGAGAGAGAGAGAAGGATGGGGAGGAAGAGAGAGAGAGAGAAGGATGGGGAGGAAGAGAGAGAGAGAGAAGGATGGGGAGGAAGAGAGAGAGAGAGAAGGATGGGGAGGAAGAGAGAGAGAGAGAGAAGGATGGGGAGGAAGAGAGAGAGAGAGAGAGAAGGATGGGGAGGAAGAGAGAGAGAGAGAAGGATGGGGAGGAAGAGAGAGAGAGAGAAGGATGGGGAGGAAGAGAGAGAGAGAGAAGGATGGGGAGGGAGAGAGAGAGAGAGAGAGAGAGAGAGAGAGAGAGAGAGAGAGAAGGATGGGGAGAGAGAGAGAGAGAGAGAGAGAGAGAGAGAGAGAGAGAGAGAGAGAGAGAGAGAGAGATAGAAAGGGGGGAGGGGGAAGGGGGGAAAGGCGGCTGAGGAAAGAGTGCTGGCAAAACACCACTGCTAATCATGGCATCCATAAGCAGGGTTTTTTTGCATGGCTTGTCAACAAAGATAGATGGGCTACAAACAACCTCCGAATCACAGGACGGGCTCCTCTCCTTCTGTATCGTGCTCTCTACACTATCTTGTACACCCTTTTGCATACATAATACAGAGAGCGTGTGTGTGAAGGTGACAGGCTACGTACGCGCGCAGGTGTGAGAAGAAACGCGCTTGTATCCAAACTTGCATTGACAGTATGACATGTCATCTCGCTCCACACACTCCTCGTTGAGACCACAGACTCGTATTGAGCACGGTGCTGGCAGATGGTGGGAGGGGTTAATGGGGGGAGAGGGAGAGGGAGAGAGAGGGGGGGAGAGAGGGAGAGAGGGAGGGAGAGAGGGAAAGACGGGGGAGGGGGGGAAGTTTGGCAGGAAAAGGGCGACGAAGTGAAAATGATTAACAAGAAAGCAGTGTTTGAGAGAATACATAAAACAAACAGAATTTGTTTCAAGCCACCAGCCACCTCATCAAGCCATCAGCCACCTCAGCAAGCTCTATGCAGTAACAAAGGCGGAAATCCCTCTGGGTTCCTCAGACAAGACCCTGACAATCAAGGGTGTTTTCATGTTGCAGTCTGTTGTGATGCCTCCATGGGCCATGTGACCTAACCCCAAACCTCAAACCCTATACCATGATTGATCTGAGTTGCTACCTTGCCCACCTCAAGTGGTTTGGGTTTGCATGGGCATCGATACCGAAACCAAGTGTGTGTGTGTGTGTGTGTGTGTGTGAGAGAGAGAGAGAGAGAGAGAGAGAGAGAGAGAAGGCCGTTAGAGAGAAGGCCGTTAGAGAGAAGAGGAGAAGCACATACGCTTGCACCATCCAGCGCCCCCAAGATATCCTGGCTTGCACTTGCACGTTGGTCTGAGGTTCACCATCTCGCATTCTTCATTTTCACCGCATTCATAGACTGCGCAGGTTGCTGGTAAGTGGAGAGAGGGGAGAACGAGAGAGGTGGTGAGGGATAGTGAGGTGAGGCAGGGGAAGGGACGGTGGTAGAGGAAGGAGGGTAATAAGACGGAAAGAGAGAGAATATGCAAGGAAAGTGAGAGGGAAAAAATAAGAGGAATGGAAAGCCAAACATACTACATACCATCACAGTATTTGCCTCGCGCAACGTATCCTGGCATGCATTCGCAAGTCCCAGCGCCTCCAGGGACTTTCTCCACACAGTGTTGGTTAGGGGGACAATACAGAGCTTTGCATGTTGCTGCAAGATGGATTTGATGATTGATAGGGAGAAGTGGGAGAATGAGACAGAGGATGAGGAGAGAGCATGACAGAGAGGTTATGACAAACGAGCAAGATAGGCAGCGATACGAGTGACAACAAAAGAGAGAAATATCAATCAGAGATGCATTGCATAGGAGGGAGAGAAGGAAAGGCAAAGAACACATGTGAGTAAAGAACAAGCACACCACATACCAGCACAAGATCCCGCCTGGCCGACATATCCACTCCTGCATTTACACGTTGGTACACCTCCTACCATCGCACATTCTTCCAATGGTCCACAATTCATGGCTTCACAGGTGTCTGTTGGATGGATGGAGGGAGACAGGAGATGGGAAGAGGGGGATGGGAAGAGGGGAAGAGGGGGAGAGGGGGAAGATGGGAAGAGGGGAAGATGGGAAGAGGGGAAGAGGGGAAGAGGGGGAGAGGGGGAGAGGGGAAGATGGGAAGAGGGGAAGAGGGGAGAGAAAGCAACCTACATCGCCACTAATGCAATGACCTTTGGCAGGAGGCGTGCTGGTGTGGATGTGACATGGAGCAGGAAGGGATGAATACGTGGGTCAGCCACGCGAGTGAGGCAGCGAAGTGGAGAAGGGAAATGCAGGAAGGAGCAAAACGATAGAAAGAGGACATCAGGAGAGGGGAGACGGGGTCAGGGAGTGGAATGTGCACAAGTGGATGATAAAGGGAAGGCAACGGGTGAAGAAAATGAGACCATCAGCACATACTTGGGCAAGCTTGGATGCTCTTTTGGGAGTTCCAAACACAGTCACGAGGACAGTTAGCCGGGCAGTTAACTGCAACAGAATTCAAGAAGGATAAAAAGGTACAGAAAGGCACAGAAAGGTACAGGTACAAATCAGCAACAGAATGAAAGCAAGAAATCTATCTACCTTCTCTCAACCACCAGCAATCGTCTACAAGAGCCACAACTGCCACGTGACTGCTCCCCACGTGTCAGCAATGTGACCAACGGTGGCTAGATAAGCACCTTCACCTAGCCTTCCTCATGGCCACCAAGCGCAGCCATTCCCACCACTCCCCAACTGAAGCGAGCAGGATTTTCCAGCAAGGAAGGTGATGATGAGTAGGGACGATGATTGGATGGAATGTGTGTAAGTTGGCGAGCGAGCGCACCTTTCTTACAGACCGGATAGAGTCCAGATGTGTCACAAAGATATCCATATGGACAGGGCATGGCCGGGCATGATACTGGCAGATGGATGGTGAAGATTGAGTATGATGAGAGGGAGAGAGGGGAGGGGAGGGAGAGGGAGAGGAGGTGGGCGGGGAAGGGGAGATGGGGAGTTTGAAGGGTTCATATGGTTAAACACCAAAAGGCCAACAAAGCTTGGTGGCAATGCCTCAGATTAAGAGAAATAAAAAAGGGGATAACGGGGGTACATAGGGAAACATAGGGGAAGAACTGACGCGGGTCCTTTCAAATCCATTGCACGTACCTGTGCAATTTCCTGAGACTGGATCCGGTGTGTAACCATCGTTGCACTTGCAGTACTGAGAGGGCGGATTGGTGGTCCACCACCACCACTGCCTTTGCTCAACGCAATTGCCGTTACCACAGTTGTCAGCAGTGCAATTGTCATGAAGAAACTCTGGACAGAGATAGAGAGAAAACAGGAGTGTGTAAGCAGGTGAGGCATGCAGGATGAGACACCCACCACACTGCCACGGATCAACAGAGGCGATCCAGCAGGGGGAATGGTAATTATTCATGGGATTGGCTTGACAGAATCATCAAAATTCCCCTGATTACACAGATTAAGCTGTGCTATTGTGCAAGCACACGCACATACGTGCGTAATCCACACACGCAAGCAGATTATTCCGTAATCTGCACACGCAAGCAGATTATTCCGTAATCCACACAAACCTCATTCACAACGCTGCGTGACTTCACATGCTACTGCAGATGAGCCTCAAGAGAGAGGTGAAGTAGGAGGGGGAGAGATGAAGATGGTGAAAATGGAGGACAGCACAAACATACGTACGTACCAGCACAAAGGACAGCACATGCGTATGTACAAACTTACCAACACACAGTCCGTCGTAGCGATTGTATCCAACCCTACAGTCGCAGGTTCCAGCGATCCCGTTGGGGAGGTCGTCACGACATTCTTCGTCAATACCACACCAATATACACTGGACGGATCGCCCAGAAGTTTGCATGTGGCTGGCAGATGGTTGGTGAGAGGGGGTATGTGGGAGATGGGAATGTGCAAAGGTAGACAGAGAGGGAGAGGGAGAGAGAGAAAGAGAGAGAAGGCGGGGGGGGGGGGGGGGGGGGGGGGGGGGTTCTCAAATCTCTCCTATCAAAGGCCACTACGGCACAGTCTCGGCAGACCGAGGATGTGAAGGGTGACACGGAGGAGCGAGAGTCTCAGCGGGGTAGCAAAAGAGCAATGAGTGGGGGGTGGTAGGGGGTGTTGCTCGGGGGCATTCTATGTATTCTTGTGTATGCCATATGACTTGCTTCTTGTTGTCTAGCTACATCGGCCTTACCTTGCTAAGGCTTGTACACCTTTGCCTATTCTAAAACATGACCGCTTGAGAGGAACGAAGAGAGAATTGCAAGAATGAAAAAGAGCATACGTACGGGCACAAATGCCTGAGTGTGTGCGAAGGTATCCATCCTTGCACACGCATTTAGCATGGGTCCGCTTCTCGATGCTTTGAGGTATACATTCTTCTTCAAAGCTGCAATTCACGTCTGGGTGATCGCATGTCACTGGCGGATGGATGGCACGAGAGGGGGTATGCAGGAGAGAGGGGGTATGCAGGAGAGAGGGGGTATGCAGGAGAGAGGGGGTATGCAGGAGAGAGGGGGTATGCAGGAGAGAGGGGGTATGCAGGAGAGAGGGGGTATGCAGGAGAGAGGGGGTATGCAGGAGAGAGGGGGTATGCAGGAGAGAGGGGGTATGCAGGAGAGAGGGGGTATGCAGGAGAGAGGGGGTATGCAGGAGAGAGGGGGTATGCAGGAGAGAGGGGGTATGCAGGAGAGAGGGGGTATGCAGGAGAGAGGAGGTATGCAGGAGAGAGGGGGTATGCAGGAGAGAGGGGGTATGCAGGAGAGAGGGGGTATGCAGGAGAGAGGGGGTATGCAGGAGAGAGGGGGTATGCAGGAGAGAGGGGGTATGCAGGAGAGAGGGGGTATGCAGGAGAGAGGGGGTATGCAGGAGAGAGGGGGTATGCAGGAGAGAGGGAGGGGAAACGTTCAGTTGTTGACATTGCACATGTCAGCATGCAGTTTGGTTTGGACCTGAGCAATGAAATCTCAGAAGTTAAAAACAAGTTTATTGTATGGAGTTGAGATGGCGGAAAAGTGGACGACTGCAAATTGTGGGAGTAGTGGGGAAAACACTACTTGCTCCGTCGGAAGATTTCCGGTACGTTGTGGGTGATCGCATGTTTCTGGATGGATGGATGGTTCGTTGCTCAACCATTTCCTGTACTCCCATACACAACGTACTGAGACAAGATCCAGGCTCGCCAATCATGTTGTCGCCACATGTGCAGGTAATATCGTCACGACAAACGGATGGGGGCCAGCACCACCTTGCCCAGCACTTATCTGGCAGATGATTGGTGGAGAGAGGACGGGAGAGATAGAGAGGGGGAGAGTTATCCATTATAGCTATGGCACATCAATGAAGCTTCTTGAATACGTAGAGAGGGGGGAGTGAAGGGGAGGGGGAAGAGAGAGCGAGGGAGATCATGTACGCACCGATGCAAGTCCCATTTGGCAGCAAGACGGTGCCGTCCATAAAGCAAATGCAGGTGGCTTCCAAAGTGACAGGGTCATGCTCGCACACTCCTCGCTCACCACAGGCCTTACTCTCGCAGTCATCTGAAAGAGGGATGGAGGACATAAAAAGGGAGAAAGGTGGAGAGGTGAAGAGAGGTGAAGAGAGTGCAAATCGGGGGAAGATGGCGAGAAACGGGGATGAGAGAGGGGTAGATAGGAAGGGGATAAGAGGTAAGATAATTTAGTGCAACATCAATGAAGAGGTATGCTAAGTACCGACACAAAAGGCAGATTTGGTCGCAATCTCTCGACAGCTTTGAGGAGCCACAAAACAACACTTGTGATCTGTCTCTTACCGAGGGTTAGGGAGGGAGGAAGCACCAAGTAGGCGTCACGTGAAGCAAAGGAAACCACCAATACACACCTTTGCAACTTCCATCAGATTGCATGGTGAAGCCTGCGCTGCACTGGCAGGATGCCTTTCCAGATACAGCGTCCTTGACACACATAGCCGAGTCGTGGCATCCCTTGAAATTGCAATTATCTGACAGGGAGGATTCAAAAAACAAACAGTTGGAAAAACGCAAGTAAGTTTGAGAAGGAAGGGAGGTATTCGGACCACCCCAAAGCTCTATCTCACGGTACTATCAGGAAATGCACGGCATGGGGGAAATGCATTTTGTGTGAATTTTTTACTCTCAAAATCCAAAAGGTCAGATGCTCTACAAGTATTAATGATGCCAACTTGCCAAGCATGGAACGGAACGGAAAGAGGAAGGCGGGCAAGAAAATGCACGAGAAAGAGGATGAAGTAGAGCCATTCCAACCAACCGCCCTAAAACGTCTCGAAATGTCACGTACCAGCGCAATACATGTCTTGAGCAACGTCTCCAACGCAGCTAGAACCCAAGTCACAGCCCGTGGCGATGCATGTTGCTGGCGAAGGAATGGAAGGAAGAGAGAGGGATCATGGGGAGAGGGGGGGGGGAAGGGGGAGGCAGAATGGAGAGGGGGGGAGCGGCGGTTGTGCGTTCAAACACAGGACCATTTGAGAGAGGGGGGAGGGAGGGAGGGTAAGGGGTGATTCCATTGCTAAAGGAGGTGAGGGTGGTGAGACCAAGAGCGAGTATTGGGGATGGGGTTAAAGTGAAGGAGGCCAAATATACGCACCAGCACAGGTGTTATTCGGTAGCATGTAGTAACCGTCGTTTGCAACGGCAGGTTTTATCTCCACTTCGCTGGTCCGTCTCACATGTAGCATGGGAATCACAGAGTTCGCATACATCTGACGGGAGGGGTGGCAATGATAAGAAAGAACGTGAAGGAGGGTGAGGACAATGAGAAAACGGTTGCAAGTGATATGAGATTTTTGGGATAATAGATGTATAGAAAGAGAATGATCATGCAAGATTGATCAAGCAGGGAAAGTGAGGGGTAAGGGCGAAAGACAATGATGATGAATATTCTCGAACCAAGCCAAGATAAAAACTGTACATTAATAATGCATTTCCCAAACATATTATCCCCACCTGTAAAATACCAATGCCCTTATCTGAAGTTATAAAAACCATATTATGCACCACTGGCAAGGTATTTTAGAAAAGGCGTAGCAAGTTTGCCTTGCGCACTTGCCTTCCTGCAGAAATAGGAGACACGCAGCCAGCATTCTAATTTACGTACCAATGCATTCCCCGGACACATTTCTGAAGCCCTGATTGCAGATGCATAATGCCAGGTCACGCTTGCCCTTGACACACGTGGTGTTGGCACCACATCCCTTCACAACGCACGAGTCTGGAAGGAAGATCAAAGAGGAAGACATAAGCGAGAGATAGGGCGGATCCGCAAGAGAAAGCGGGGCCTCAGGGTCAACAAGGGAGGATTTTAAAGAGTGTGAGCGATCAGGATGGGAAGTTGGGTGGAGGAGAGAGGAAAGGAGAGGGCGAAGGAGGGAGGGAGGGAGAGGTTGGAAGTTGAAACGAACGGAACGGGTGAGGTATAAGACAACAGCATGAACAAGGCAGGCACTTACCCTGTGCCACAGGTGACAGGCACATCAGCCAGCCATGCAGCGACTGCAGCAACACTCACCCATGCAGGCATCACTGGGAGTCCTGGTGTACCCATCCTTGCAGGCACACGTGTCACTCCCTGATGCATTCAGGAAACACAAGGCATTCGTTCCGCAGTTGTCCACAGCGCATGGCTCTGAGGGGAAGGGAGGGGGAAGGGGAAGCGAAGGGAGGGAAAGGCACGGGAGGCAGCAACGGAGAGGCAGTGAGGGCAGCTGGATTGCAAGCATGACTCTCACTCAAGGCACGGGGGGGGATGAGGAAGTGTGCCGCTCTTCTGATAGGCGAGTTCCTTTGGTCCTTCTGCGCAGGGTTGCGCCGATGATCCTTCTCCCTCCGTCCTATGTACTGATCATAGGCAGCAGCCGCTGGTGGTCTGGCATGCGCCAGAGAGGCAGCAAGCCGTCGTCCTCCAGTCGAAGTTACGCCAGGTGACGCCGGGGCCAGTCTCATGGCCCAGTCCCATAGCTTGGTCTCTCAGTTCCATAGCTTTGAGCAGGTCCTTTATGTGGTTGAGCCCCCTGGGTCTAGTGCCCCGGGATAGGCGATCAGTGATTGTTCTTGACAGCGAGAGAGCGAGCACGCACCAGTGCAATTGCCAAATGGCGAAATGACGTAGTTGTCGTTGCACCCGCATATACCCGCCTTGCAGAAAGAGTTGGTGCCACAGTTTATGCGATCGCAGAGATCTGGGAGGGGAAACGGAGGCAGTTTGAAAAAGGAGTTTGCAGAGGAGAGTTTAGACTTGGGATTCAAAGAACTAAGAGAGGGGGTGTG